GGTATGGGTAGCGGGCGACCTCTAGCTATCTCTTGTGCCTTGAGTATATATGAGCCAGTAGCCCGTATATACTCAAGCTGTACGTTCATGGAACTGACTCGTTTTGTTATAAAAAGACTACCACAATTCAAACTTACGTTGTTAAATACATGTGCCCCAAAACTAACATTATAACACAAAGAAACTATTGTAAGTTAAGCAAGACGCTTAATGTTTGTTTTGTTTGTGTTTATGACCGGTGTATGCGTCTCTCCTTCATGGCTCTAATTCACTTGCTGCCAACTTTTTTCGTTTTGTGAAGTAGTGGAAGACGCTTCGCCCTTTAACTGTAGTTTACATTGCTAATGGTGCTCTTTGAAGCAGCTGAAAACAGTTTTTTTGTGTGTTTACAGAATGAGTGTTTGTGTTAGTATAGTAAAGCATACGAGGGTAGGCCAGGGTGACGTTGTGTGTGTGTGTGTATTCACCTAATTGTACTCACCTAATTGGGGTTGCAGGGGTCGAGACTCGGCTCCTGGCCCCGCCTCTTCACTGAACGCTCCTAGGTCCTCTCTCTCCCTGCTCCATGAGCTTTATCATACCTCTTAAAGCTATGTATGGTTCCTGCCTCCTCTACATCACACGCCAGACTGTTCCACTTCGTGACCACTCTATGACTGAAGAAATACTTCCTAACATCCCTGTGACTCATCTGAGTCTTCAGCTTCCAAGAGTGACCCCTTGTTTCTGTGTCCCCTCTCTGGAACATCCTGTCTCTGTCCACGTTGTCTATTCCACGCAGCATTTTGTATGTAGTTATCATGTCTCCCCTAACCCTTCTGTCCTCCAGTGTCGTCAGGCCGATTTCCCTTAACCTTTCTTCAAAGGACATTCCCCTTAGCTCTGGAACTAACCTTGTCGCAAACCTTCGCACTTTCTCTAATTTCTTAACGTGCTTGACCCGGTGTGTGTGTGTGTGTGTGTGTGTGTGTGTGTGTGTGTGTGTGTGTGTGTGTGTGTGTGTGTGTGTGTGCGTGTGTGTGTGCGTGCGCGTGTACGCGTACGCGTGTGCGTGTGCGTGCGGGCGTGTCCGTATGCTCACTCTTGATATATTTGTATTTATTTAGGTATTATTAATGCTACCACTTAAGCTTTGACTCGCCTGCTCTCTGAACAACTGTCGTATCTACGTCTCACTCGTGTATAAAGTTTGCTTCCACTGCCTTTTTCCCCGAAGCTCCTTTATTTTCTTCTCACCCTCTTGATTGAAAAATAATCTAATCTCCCATTGGTTCAGTTAAGACTTTGAATCATTTAGTATCCCCTCATTATGACTCCTCTCCCCTCAGCGTAATCTTGTCTGACGCATCATTACCACTGAGTATTTTGCACGTCGTAATTGTATCTTTCTTGGCTTCTCATTCTTTCCGTAACTTAAGGTTTAGTTTTGTTTGCATTTCCTTGATGTTATTGCTATCTCTGCTTGCAGTAATCTATATTTACGAATTTTGTACTTAAGGCATAGATCGTACGCTGGGGTCTTCCCTAGTATTTTCTTACCACTAGGCCTAGGGCCTCACGGCACAGAGACTGGGCCCGCGATTAGCAGACGGAGGATCGAATCTCTACTACTACTAATACTGCTGCTACCACTGTGTGGCCGATGTGAATACTCAGTGGTAGCAAGTTGAGCTCATGACCGGATTCAATTGTAGGCGACAAGGGACGCTTGGGCAAGTCTTCTACTACTCACTGCTCCCCTTCCTCTAGCAGTAAATCCGGAGACAGTTTATTCCATTTTCCAGAAAAAGGAAATTGAATATATAGTAAAACACGAATATATACACAAACATGAAATATTACCTAACTGAATCAAACACTGAAAAAAAAAATACAGCAGAACCTGAAAATGAATCGATGCTAGGATAACATACAAGTTGGTGCAGCAAGAGGTATGAAGCAGCGCTCTCACACTGTAGTCTAGCTCTCATCCACTGTGCTCCAGCCTGATGTAAATAAAATAGTTTAGGAAGATGGAAGCAAAACGTTCAATCATCTCAAATTGAAAACAAAGACATTCGAGCCCTGATGCAAAGCACACGTCAACAGTGCAGCGTAGTACAACACAGGCGGCGCTGTTCTCAGTGAACTGTAATGGAACCCCAGTAGAAATAACAACAGGCGGTCCCAGATGACGCACTGACTTTATTGAACTATCATGATGTACTAACCTTACGATATTATTATTATTATTATTATTATTATTATTATTATTATTATTAATTTATTTTTTTAACACATTGGCCGTTTCCCACCCAGGCAAGGTAACCCGAAAAAGAAGAAATACTTTTATTATCATTCATTAAATTCTGTCTTGCCAGTTAAAAAAACTGCAGCGTATCTCCACTCCTCCTCCTCCTCCTAATTATTATTATTATTAGTAGTATTATATAACTTATTATTTTAATGATTATTATATGGGAAGCGCTAAAACTGTATGGGACATTTATTACGTGGAAAATGAGAAGCAATCAAATTCCATCTAAGACAAAGGAGAATAGCTCCACTTACTAAATCAAGAGCCCTTCCCCAACATCAAGACAGCCTCGGCTTGAAGGATAGGACTGATTCCGTACATATTCTAGTGTTGAAATCTGTCAGCCTGAGTTGGTAGACTTTGGTGGCACATGGGGAGGCTGGATGGGTAGGGGAGAGGTAAGGTAGGGAGGGAGACCGGGTAGGAGGGAGGGTGGGGAGGCAGGGTTGTAGGGAGGGAGGGAGAGAGGGAGGCAGAGCAGGAGGGAGGGAGAAATGGAAGTACGGAGGGAGGGAGGCAGGCAGGTTGGTAGGGAGGGGAAGAGGCAGGGTTGTAGGGAAGGAGGGGAGGCAGGGTGGTAGGGAGGGAAGGGAGGCAGGGTGGGAGGGAGGGAAGCCGGGTGGTAGAGAGGCAGGGTGGTAGGGAGGGAGGTAAAGAGTGAGGGAAGGAGGAAGGGTTGTGGGGAGGAAGGCAGGGTGGAAGGGAAAGAGGGAGGAAGGTGGGAGGGAGGAGGAGAAGGGTGGGAGGGAGGGAGGCAGGGTGGGAAGGAAGAATGGAGGGAGGCAAATAACAATGGTGGAGAACTGAAAGGTTCAAGTTGGTCACACTCCACATTACCTCGCCCCCCGTCACCTCTCCTCCCGTCACCTCGCCTTCCGTCACCTCGCCTTCCGTCACCTCGCCATCCATCACCTCGCCATCCGTCACCTCACCCCCGTCACATCGCCTCCCGTCACCTCGCCTTCCGTCACCTCGCCTTCCGTCACATCGCCTCCCCGTCACCTCGCCTTCCGTCACCTCACCCCGTCACCTCGCCTTCCGTCACCTCACCCACGTCATCTCTCCTCCCGTCACCTCGCCTCCCGTCACCTCGCCATTCATCACCTCGCCTTCCGTCACCTCGCCTCCCGCCACCTCGCCTTCCGTCACCTCGCCTTCCGTCACGTCGCCTTCCGTCACCTCGCCTTCCGTCACCTCGCCTCTCGTCACCTCGCCATCCGTCACCTCACCTTCCGTCACCTGCCCCCCGTCACGTCGCCTCTCGTCACTCGCCATCCGTCACCTCGCCCCATCACCTCGCCTTCCGTCACCTCACCCGCGTCACCTCGCCTTCGGTCACCTCACCCCCGTCACCTCGCCTTCCGTCACTTCACCCCTGTCACCTCGGCCCGTCATCTCGCCTCCGTCACCTCGCCTTCCGTCACCTCGCCTCCCGTCACCTCGCCACCGTCACCTCGCTCCTACCTGTCACCTCGCCTTCGTCACCTCCCCCGTCACCTCGCCCGTCACCTCGCCTCCCGTCACCTCGCCTTCCGTCACTTTCCTCCCGTCACCTCGCCTTCCGTCACCTTTCCTCCCGTCTACCTCGCCTTCCGTCACTTCGTCTCCCGTCACCTTTCCTCCCTATTCACCTCGCCTTCCGTCACCTCTCCTCCCGTCACCTCCCTCCGCCTTCCGTCACCTCGCCTTCTGTCACTCCTCCCGTCACCTCGCCTCCAGTCACTTCACCTTCCGTCACTCACCTTCCGTCACATCCCCTCCATCGCCCTCATCCTCCCGTCACCTCGCCTTTCCTACCCGTTTACCTCCCGCCCCCACTTTCCGTCCCCTCCTCTCACCCCCCCCCCCTCTCCCTACCCCTTGTCACCTTTGTCACTCCTCTCCGTTACTTCGCCTTCCGTCACCTCTTATCATGTCACCTCTCCTCCCGTTACCTCGCCTTCCGTCACCTCGCCTTCCGTCACCTCGTCTCTTGTCACTCCTCCTCCCGTCACCTCTCCTCCCGTCACCTCTCCTCCCGTCACCTCGTCTCTTGTCACTCCTCCTCCTGTCACCTCTCCTCCCGTCACCTCTCCTCCAGTCACTTCGCCTTCCGTCACCTCGCCTCCCATCACCTATCCTCCCGTCACCTCGCCTCCCATCACCTCTCCTCCCGTCACCTCGTCTCTTGTCACTCCTCCTCCCGTCACCTCTCCTCCAGTCACTTCGCCTTCCGTCACCTCGCCTCCCATCACCTCTCCTCCCGTCACCTCGCCTCCCGTCACCTCCTGTCTTCTCACCGCCCGTCAACTCGTCTGTCCTGACCTCCATCTCCCTGCAGCTATCTCTTTGATCTGTCCTTCTGGAGGAAAACAACTTTTTTAGTTCTCAGGCGTCCTTGAGCAATGCTCAGAATGTCCTCTCTTTCTTTTTTGTAATTTATAGACATTGTATATCAAATAATTCCCATTCCTTGAGGAACACGTTCTCACTGAATAATTTTATCATCCCTAACATCGTCCATTTCAGTTTCAGTCAAGATCCTTTATATGCTCATTTTATCTTATGTCATTTCCTCCTTTTGCTTCTCTCTGATTCCTCCATCTTATCATAGTTTTGACCTTTGATTTTTGATATCTATTAGATGTGTTTTATAGAAAATAGCAACGTTCGTGCCTACACTGCACGTGCAATTCTAACTTGTTTTTCTACGTTTATTTTTCAGGTTGTCTGCAGCTCAAGTCCGTCCAGAAGGTAATCCTCTCATTGGTTAGGTTTGATATGCCAAAGTCTGACGTAAATCCGATCTGAATCTGACCCTACTGTGTGTTCGAGGCTTCTTATCTCTTCTCAGATTGCTTGTGACTCCTCCCTCAGATTGTCGTTGTTCACTGTGTTAGTTTCTTTTGTGTTATTTCTCTTCTTAAGGTATTAATAATTTTACCATCAATTTTACTTGTCCATCCCTGGTCACTGCATGAACTGTGTATCACTTGTTCTTCCTTGTTGGCAGCAACAACCTAACTGGTCATTCAATGAAATTTGGCTTCGAGTGTGGTTGCGAGTGTAGAATAACTTTAGACACCAGCTACCGGCATATCACAGGTAACTCCCAGTGATGATGGAGGATACAACGTGCTTGGTATCCGTAAGTCTCCTCCCAGTCATCCCTCATTCAGGATAGACCGTACTGAGAGAAATTAATTCCCAAGTATGAGGAGCTCCAGTTCTGCTGGAATGATGTCCATAAAGCTGCCGTAACTACTTAACCTTTAATGGAATGATTGAAGATACTAGTACAGAAGTGCACGGAGAATGTGATCACTGGGTTAAGGTAGAAGTGAAAGTTAGCTAGATGTATTTCAGTCACTGCGCAACCAGAGAAAGACGTACGTCCCTTGTTGCACAACCCCAATCTATTGTACCTCATTGCACGCGATTGGAATATTGAAAAGTGTCGCATAAATATATATATTGCGGTTAAATGTCATGACTGAAGATTTGATGCGAGTCAGAAGAGGCATTCACAAGCCCTTCATTTGAAAATTAATATAAAAAATCCATCATTAAAAATTAAGACATACACAACTTAAATCTTATTCAAACCTTCCCTTAAAACTGACCCTAAAAAAAAAAAACTTTCATTTATGTTCTATTACAAATTTTTGACAGTCTTATAATATCACATATTTTATTGTTTTTGTAAGAAAATCAGATTAGTCAAAATTGCTTTAAAGAATAAATTGTCACCCACTCAAAAAACAATAAAAACAACACAACAAAAAATACTTCCATTTACAATACACTAGCGTTTAGGGTTTGAATCTAATCAGAAGAGTCATTCTTCAGTTATTGCATGTAAACCAGTTTGACGAAATTAACAAATTGAAATTTACACACTTCAACGAGAGTACCAAGCATTGTTTTAATAGTCCAGCAATGGTAAGAATTTGAAGCCGATCGGAAAAGACATTGTCTAGTTATTGAATATAAATATCACTATTTTTTTATTAAAATTAATTGGGAATTATGGTACCAAGTAACAGCACGACGAAGCATGTTTTCAGGAAGCCACTCCAGTGGTTAAAATCTGAAGCCGATCTGAGAAGTCACTTTCAAGTTATAACACGGATTTCAACGATTCCCATTTTTTAACTGTTTTCCTCTATTCACCAATTTTCCCGCTCACAAACAAAACTTAATGGGTACTCTCCTGACCATAACATGCATCAGCCATTAAATATTGAAGCCTTCCAGAAAAGATAAACTGAGATTTACTTAACTTGATTTAACGGGTATAAAAATTTCACATTGTTTTACACATAAAATGGTCAAATCTGTTCCTGTATACACAGTCGAGTCGCCCTCTCCGCCGTCGAATTAGGAGGAAACGTTTTTGAACTTTTGAAGCTGCGACACTGAGGGTTTTGGAGGTTATTACAGCCATTCAGGGATGCTGGGAATGGGCTTAACAACTTTGGATAGAGGACGTCTGCTTATGCCAGTTGTCCAGAAATCTAGTTCCCGTTACCGTACACAAGCACTAAAGGTTCGAAGCCTATCAGATGCGGCATTCTCGAGTTATAAGCGAAAGAAAAACAAAACGTTGAAGAAAAAAAAATTAGGCAGTCACTTTAAGATCATCCTTAAAGTGATTGGCAGTAGTTTCTTGTATCTTAAAATAAGATACAAGAAACTACTGGGATAAAAGTGGGCTAGAGAGAGAATAAAGATTATGAGGAGGAGCCGAAGAAGTATGAGGTAGGTTTTAGAATGTAGTATTAGAGTGCAGAGCAGATGCTTGTGGTTATAGGAGGGTGGGTGTGGGTGGAAAGAGCAGCAGTTGGTGGAATGATGAGGTAAAGAGGGTGGCAAGGAAGAAAAAATAGCATATGGGAGGTTTTTACTATGTACATCTAATATACAGAGGACGGAGAAATGGAGAGTAAAAGAGTGGTAAAAGGAGTGGTGAGGGAGCGCAAGAGGAGAATTAACGAGAAAGTAGGCGAGGTATTATCAACAAATTTTACTAATAAGAAAAAATATTTTGAGTGAGATTTACAAGTAAAGAAAGCCTAGAGAATAAATGGATTTAACAGTTAAAAGCAAAATTGGGAGGTTATTAGATGGGAGGGTGGAGATACCGGGAAGATGGAGGGAATATTTTGAGATGCTAAATGTTGATGATGAAAGTCTGTGCAGTATACCAGGTAAAGTGTACGGTAGACTTGTTACTGAAAGAACAAAGTAAGGTGAGGGTTGCAGGGGAACAATTATGTTTTAAGGATGTTAAAAGATGCGTAGACCAAGTGTTTACACTGCAGCATATAAGTGAATACTATCTCTATAATGTTAAGGAGCTTTTTGATGTATTTATGAATTTACAAAAGGTACATGATATGAACGATAGGAGAGCAATGTGGCAGAGGTTACAAATATATGGAATAAATGGTAGATTATTAAAAGAAGTAGATAATGAAATTTAGGATAATGGATAATGGAAATGGATAATGAAGTTTAGGTTAGGGTATGTGGGAGAGAAGGAGATTATTTTCCAGAAAAAGTAATGCCTAAACAGAGATGTGTTATGTCTGTCACCAGAGTTGTTTAACGTATTTATAGACTGGATTATATAAGAAGTGAACGCTAAGGTGTTGGGGAGAGGAACGAGATTATAAGATAAAGAATCAAATAAAAAATTGGAGTTATCACAGTTTTTTTTTTTCCGATGACACGATGGACGAATTTGTTAGGTTTTGTAAAAGATGGAAATCAAAAGTGAACATAAGAAAGAGGAAGGTAATGAAAGTAACAAAAAAATCTAGGTAATGAAAGAATGGATATTAGATCGGAGGATGGGAGTATAGAGAAAGTATTTAGATATTTGGGAGTGGTCTTTTCGGTAGGTGCGTTTATGAAATGAACCATAGAATAAATGATGTGGGGGAGATGGGGGTGCATTGAGGTATCTGTGGAGACGAAGAACCTTATCCCTGGAGGCAGAAACAGGGAATGTACTAGAGAAAAGAGGTGAAACACTGTTATATGGGTGTGAAACATTTTTTTAAATGTCGCAGCAAGAAGGAGACTGAAATAGTGGAGATGTATTTGAGGGCAATATTTAGTGTAAATATTATGCAGGGTATTCGGTGCTTGGAGGTTAGAAGAAAGTGTGGGGTTACAAAAGTATTATTCAGAGGGCAGAGGAGCGATGGTTGAGACATTTGAACATTTAGAGAGGAAACGGAAAATAAGTTTACTAGGAGGGCATATAAATGTGAATGGAGGGAAGGAGGGTTAGGGATCGTCCATGGATTGGTTGGAGGGAGGGGGCAAGGGTTGTTTTGATTGCTAGGGGCTTGGTAATCCAATTGGCTTATGTGAACGTGTTGGGTAGGAGTGGAGGCAAGTGGTTTTTATGATTTAACGTGCTGTTGGAATGTGAGCAAAGTAGCATTTATGATGAGATTCAGGGAAGCCCGTTAGCCGGACGTGAATTCTGGAGGTGGGGAGTACAATCCCTGCATTCTGAAGGTTGGGTGGGGATGTGGCAGTTCAGAAGGTTTTCTGAGCTGTGATGTCAGTGCACTTGTGGCAAGACAATGATAAGATGAATGATGGATAACGTGTTTCTTTTTCTGGTCATTCGATCTCGATGGGGGGGGGGGAAGGCGGTGTGTTAAAACAAATCCTCATCGTCGTACTGAAGTCTCCTAGCTCCTAGATTTTATTCCTACTATCACATAGAATAGAGCAGCAGTAAATTGTTGATAAATCCAATTTTGCTGCATTAGAAACGAATATTGGCCTCTGTCCAGGGTGGAGTGGCTACCCAATCCCCTACGTTACCCCAGCAATAGAAATTGGAAGTTCCTGTTGCTTATGAACCTGTAATGGAATATTTGACGACTATACAGGCCAAGATCTGTCGGCATCCAGAGAAAAGAACTGCCAGATGCTATTTCTAGATTGCTCTGTAGCAAACCTCTGCCTCACAGTGACTTCATGGATCATACATGTAGATATATATCCTGAGGAAGTGGTAGGCCTGGCGTGTCCCACAGAATAGCACCAAGGTGTACAAGAATGTTTTGGCTCTCATTCATCACGAATCGTCCACATATGTAATGTGGGTGCCACACTTGTAGTGGCATCCACACCTGCATGTAACCCTCATGCTCACAGTATAATTCTCATGTTCACAGTGTAACCCTCATGTATACGGTATAATCCTCATGTTCTCAGTGTAACCCTCATACTCACAGTGTTACCCTCATGCTCACAGTGAGGGGCTCACGTCCACAGAGTGGCCCAGGGATATATACCTTCACAGAGACAGACAGACAAAGACGGAGACAGCGTGGCGCACATACAGAGGCGCACACGCACAATAACCCGACGCTACATTCTCTGATAGTACCTATGCAAAACGTTTTGATGAGTGGATTTATATTAATAATACAGAAAAATAATGCGCAGAGGAATTAATAATAGATGCAAGAGGGGAAAAAATCAGAAATTTTCAAGCGAATTAAATATTTCACCTTAAATCTATGGATAGAGGCCGGCAGAAATACCACTCTCGTACATTCCGCAAAGCATTGTAACAGGTGAATCATTGTTAAATAGTAGAAAAAGATAGTAGTGAACAGAGGGATTACGTATTATAAATGAAAGACAAAATAGAAAGCTTTTAGTGAGTTCTGGGAAAATATGGAATGCCTAAGTGGTGAAAATTTGCGTGTGTAAACCCT